CGACAAATTTGACCAATTGTTGCTAAATCTACATATGAATTATTAAAGATAAACAAATCTACACTACAACCTGCACCAACACACTCTTGACCCAAATTATTATAGACATTGTTTTGCGGAACTGTGAAAAATAAAATTATTTTACATAAGTTACAAATCATGACTACTCTTAATGCTGTAAAATACATACCTAATACCGTCTTTTCTTTATCTGTTCCAAGTACCTTACGATCGTCACGGTTTTTCAATTTTCCAGGTGCTTCGGCAATTGGTAAAGATGAATGGAATATTAATAATTTGCCAGCACATTCCGATGCCTGGAATCATAATTATGTACGTTTTATGATAGTATTAATATACACAAAATTATGTATATATTACTGAATTTTTTAAATTTATTTAATCATTAATGAGAAAAAAATTTATATATACACTTTTTGTCTTATTTTTTCTCCAGATTATAATTGTACTATTTATTTAAGTACCTTTAATGCTTCTAGTCCAGCTTGTATAGCAGGAGCAAGAATCGTTTCTGTCTCTCGAGTGTCTGCAAACATTTGAGGAATCTGTGTCATAAGGCTGTCGATAACTGCTTCACTCTCCTCGATATCGCATAAAAATCCGTCCAACAGTGGCATAAATACATCTTGAATATCTCCAACAACCATCATTTGTGGTTGAGCAAGACAAGGATTGATGTTATAAAAATGCACGGTATTATTATATGTTATAAAACCAACTTTCATGTTGCTTTTAGTTTGTCCATCATCAATAGGTAAATTTTTTATTATGGATTTCATCTTTGTACATAATAAGTTCACTAATCCTGATTTAACTGTATTATACGATACATCGATTATGAACACAATGGCGGGTGATTTTGGAAAAATGTTGTCCTTCAAAAAGAATAAATGTATGAAAATTAACATATAAATTTATAATTTTAACGACTTAGATAAATTTAAATTTTTATTTTACTTTTTAACTTTCTAAAATATTGAATTTAATTATTTACTAATTATATATTGTTATAAAATTTAAAAATAATTTTATTGAATGATCTATGTAAATAATAATTATTATATGTACGTATATTAAATTAATTTACCCTGCAATAATCTTTTGTGGCTATATATTCAAATGTACCCAACATTAATTCGGGTCTCTCATAACGATCCAAGCGTTGACCTGTGTGGTCTAAGTGTTGGAAATATTCATTTGGAACTAAACATAAAAAACATAGATATAAATATTTAATACAAAAATTGTAGATATTTGCAAAATAATTCTTAATTAATTGTTACCTTCGGTAGTTGCTTTACAAAACATGCATTGAAATCTTCGGCCAGCATCAATAAATTGCATAAATGGACACATATAAGCTTTACAACGTATGCAACGTACTGGTCCAATTTCACCCATATCTACAATTGGTGGTTCAAATTCTCCTTGCACAATCCGAGCCATTGGACTTATCACAAGTCCAAGGGGAATATTAGTCTGTGTAAGATACTATATGTATGTATATATATATATCATATATATATATATAACTTAATAAAATTGACTCGGTTGAATAAATCCAAGAGAAATGATAAATGCCTTATAGAGTCAGAACATGTGTGTATATATATATATATATATTTGTATTCCAATATATACCTGTTTTACAATATCAGCACTAGTAGGTACAGTATACATAGTGGATCTAATGTATCTGGGTGAAGCATTTCCTTGATCTTGAGTTACAAAATTTGTTGTTACCAAAGGTGGTACAAGGCCTTTCTGATTCGTTATAAATACTCCACTTTTTGCATTTCGATCATCTAGTATTACTTGAATCTGGATTAAAGATAGTTTGATTTGAGACAATAAATAATATTAGCATATAAAATGAATTCAAAAAATTAAATTCATACTGGACTCGGCATTTGGTCTGGATCAAGTCGTCTAGAGTGTTGAGATTGCAATCCTGATTGATATCCTGTAGCATTCGGTGTACTTTGATATGGGCTTCTTTGATTATTATACATATCCTGCTAAAGAAAAATAGTTCATTTTTTTCTGTATATAAAAAGTCTTAGTTACTCTTAAAATAGTAAAATTTTTTAATATATACCATTTGGTTAGGATATCCTGGTTGTTGATACGTTGGTTGTTGGTACGTTGGTTGTTGATACGTTGGTTGTTGATACGCTGGTTGTTGATAGCCTAAAGTGGTACCAGGTGGTGCACAATTCATTCCTAGAGGACTGGATAAATTTTGCCCTGGTAATGGAGGCATAGTAGAGCCATATTGTCTTTGTCCAGGTTGTATTACATTTGGTCCTACAGTATTCGCTGTAGTTTGATCTGCCATTGGAGGCATAGTTGGTAAATATTGCTTTTGTCGAGCTTGAGAAAAGTTGGATCCTGGAGAACTTATTATAGATTGTCCTGTTGTTGAAAGAGGAGTAAATTGTGATGGATCAGACCCTGGATCTGTTGGAGGTGCTCTAACTTGTGGTAGTAATGGTGGCAATGGTGGCACAGAATTATATGGTGCTGCTCCAGACTGGTGTAGGCTAGCGTTTAGCAGATTAGTCCCTTGAGCTTGATAACCCACAGAAGCTTGCCCATGTCCAAGAGGAGATCCTATAGGCACGCGTGAGGGTATTTGAGAGCCAGGAATACCTGTCATCGGAGGACTCATTATTTGGGAGCGATCTCCAGGTGGCATCGACAGTAAGGAAGAATGCATTTGTGAATTTGATAAATTCTGTTCTCCTGCAATCGGTGGCTTTATAAAGTTTTGTTGATTCTTTATTGGTGGCACAGACTCAGCATACGGATGCTGCCTTCCTACGTCTGGAATATGCTGCATCTGTCATAACAAAATTTATTACAAATATAAACTTTAAGTGCATTGAAAGTGTACTAATTACGATATGCTATGATATAGATATCTCATTTATATAAGAATAGTACAAAATTTAGAAAAAAATATACTAGGTACTATAATAGTTTTATTATTAGATATCTATAATTGTTAATATACATATATAAAATATACATAATATAGACAAGATAAAATAAACAAAATAAAAATTTAACACGTTCAAAAAGTGAAAGGTAACCTACATAAACAGTATCATATTTGTTTTTTAATACAAGTAGAAAATGTGAACATGCTCCATGTATATGCGTAACGTAAGCTCCCATTTAAATAGAACGTAAAGTACAAAAAGACATTAAATATTAGCAATTAGAAATAAATAAATACATATGCGACGTTTTAAAGCCCAAAATTATTACATGTGGAAACACCAATAAACTTTGTATACAATTATGTTAAATATATGATATACGTACGTTATATCGTAAAATGTGTTTTAAACTGAATCATAACAATTTTAATATCCCGGAAAATGTTTACACACGAAAAGTACAAGAAATATACGTCAATGTAACTTGATGTAGCTATCCACTGGATGTGACTGCTGCCGATGCCACTGCCACGTAAGGCGGCATTGCGCATGCGTTCAATACATGCTGATGAGACACGTCATGCTACAATTTGACCACTAAAATTTGATACAAAAAAAATTAAAAACATGATATATTTAACATGTGAATAATGGTATAATTTTTTTCAGATTTAATAAATTATCTATATACATGAAACATATTCGTCAAATTATAATAATTAAGTAATAAAGGCAAATTTAGACTGTTTCTGATGTCTAATGTGTAAAGATACCACGCGGGCGAAATTTGAATTTCTTACAAGATATTAATATTTATTTTTAATATATATATATTTTTTTTAATATATAAAAAAGCTTTTGGAATGGTTTATATAATTTTTATTAATATATAATTTTCTATATTCACACATTCTCAAATTTATTCTTTCGATTTAGATTAATTTTAATTTTAATCGACTTTATACGACACACGGTACGATTTCTCGACGCATATATATCAGAGAGCTCTATATAATATATTTTATTTATTTCTAAGTAATTTATTAGAAATTTTTTTACTTACAGCGATATAAAGGATCTGTTCTTGTTACTTGCATTTTTTTTTGTATAGGAATCTTCTCTTCCTCTCTGCCTCTATTGGCCTAATATACATTTATTTGTTCACACACATGTAATATATGTTTTACGCAAAACGAAGAAATCCATTGTCATATTATCTTTTTATTTCTTTCTTTCAATACAATAAATAAAAAATATCTTGAAATTGATAGTTAAAACTTATTTTTAATACGAATCCGATAAATTTAAAAAATAATAGAATTTTGAATACTCATACTTTGTTACATACTAGTGCTAAATATAATAATTTAAAATGACATCTGTTTTACATATAAAAATCGAAAAAAATCGTGCTCAATCTATATAATTTATATAGTAAAATCAAATTACAAATAAAAAGTTTCCACAAACATATGATATTGCAATGTATAAAGAATACAAATAAACGCAATATTTCATCATTAATTATGCAAAAATTATTTCATCAAAGCATAAAGTTTTAATGAAACTTGAAAGAAATTTAAATTATTTAAACTATAAATATGCATAATATATAATAATATAAGTAATTATTATAATAGAATTTATTTATCATATATACATATATATAATGCACGCATATATATATTTATATATGTACACAAATATATAAAAATAAAATAAATTCTATCATAAAATTATTAAATAGAATTGATTTATTACGCATACATATACACATTATTACTACATCCACACACGCATTCGTGCACATATATTTGTGTCTATATTCCTTTGTATTATATAATTACATTCATAATTCTTTTTTACATTTGCACGATATTCACAATCAGTACAATTGAAGGCATAATCGGTTCATTATCGAAAAATAAGTCATCAGAGAAATCCGTATTGCAGTATATAAAAATAAATTTTTGCTTATATGTACATATATATATCGGAAGATAAACACATCGTGATGTGATTCTGATTACACACTCAAAGCGTATATGGATATTCCTTGATATAGTTTTTAATTAAGAGTGGTAAACAGTCAATAGGCAACTTGTTTCGATTCACGGCGAGTCTGGCTAAATGCGACAGTGATCTAACTTCTTTAACAAAAGGACTGGTCAAATAGATCTGGCTATATAGTTGTCCACTATAGTCAACCCACACTTCCCTACGATGCTCATCCATCCTCTTTGAATACGCGACATAGTACTCCAACATTTTAATAGGACAATCAAAAAATGGCATCGACAATGCTAACTTAGGATCGGTAGTTTCGAGCCGAAAATGTTCGAGGAAATAGTGCACTCTAATAGAAGCAGGGCCTTTGGTTGTTTTCACAGATACTGCAAAAGTGAATCTGTAATCCGAACTGTCTCTCATTAGCCACCGACCTATGGATGCATCCTTTAAAAGGTTTTCACTTTGCTGCCGACTGATGCCCTCATGGTACCAACCACAAATCTGTAATAATCTTTTTACTTCGCGTAATTTATTTACATGTACATCCGGGCTCCAGGCAGTTAGTGGCCAGGACATTGGAGCTGTTAACGTTTCATCCACTTGCTCGGTACTATTATAACTCTTGTTTTCTGCAACAATCTGATTCACCATTGCGCAGTCCAACTCGTTTGGTTGCACGAGACCACCTCCATGAAAGTTATTTCTACCACGACCTGGCAATTTCATTGCCACAACCTGATTCGGCGGCGTTGTCGTTGTCGCTGTGATGTTTACAGTGCACTGACCCAGGTTTGCAGGTAGCTGTACAGTAGCGTTTACTCTGAATTGTACGCTGTTACCAATAGGCTCTAATAGTAATGAGTCACGATTATCCGCGAGAGATGCATCAAATATCCGTCTATGATGATACTGACAATGATTCTGCTGAAACGTACTTTTGCAATCGCAACAGTTATTTGTTTTGATCATGTTTGGTATCTTTTGCTGCCTTGATTCAGTACTTGTTATTTCGTTATTTTCGTTATCTCTTATCGTTTCAGATGATGTCACCCTTATATTCGTAGGTAATTCTGAATAACCATTGGGCGGCGTAACAAATGTTTGATTATTGGCTGCGAAATTTTTTGTACATTTAGATGTCGCTAATCGTTCATCTTCAACGGTCAATTTCTTCTGCACAAGACAACCGCCACCGGTAAGCTTTGGTTCAATTTTGATTTGCGAAGTTTGTAGCAGAATTTCGGGTTCTGTACGTTGTATTAAGCAACCACCTGACTGTATATCAGGTGTAGCAATCGTGACGCTGCCGCCAGTGAGCTTGCATGTAGTTGCGACATACTGCTCCGATGGTGCCATCTCATAGTTAAGATTTTCTGTTACTGTAATGAAAGGATCTTGATCATTCGATTGATGTATTGGCGATGTTAATAGCGGATGGTGATTATGTTTCATCGACGTCTGTATATCATAGAAGAGTTCCAGTGTATCAGAATCAGTAATTTCAACATTTGAGCCGCACGAGTTGATTGCATGCGATTGAAAGGTGGATTCCTGAATCTTTGTAGATGGATTTATAAAACAATTGCTACCGCTGGTGCAGTCATGGGACAGTGGGAGACTACTAACGTAATAGGTTGCTGTCGTTGAACAGATAGTATTAGCAGCTATCTGCTCTTCCTTTTTCTCTTCTTCCTCCTCTTCCTCTTCCTCCTCTTCTTCTTCATCTTCTTCATCTTCTTCCTCTTCTTCATCCTCCTCTTCCTTTCTTACCTCCTCTTTTACCTTTTCTTTTTTTCCTTCCTTTTCTTCTTCATTCTTTTCCTTTTGTTTATTCTTCTTTTCTTCCTCCTCCTCTTCCTTCATTTCTTTTTCATTAGTTTCATCATTCCATTTTAAACAGCATCCCATTACTGGAAAATGATGCTGACATTTTGGACACACCATTCTCAACATCATGTTTGTACGCTCGTAACCAAATCACCGCAATCAACATAGCAGTCCAGTCTGAAATAAATAACGGATATTAACTGATATTATAAGTTAATAACGTAAATAATAATATAAATAGTAAAATTATTAAATTAATTATTTGTACATATTTTTTTTGTATGAATTACAAAAAATGTTATACATGTATGCTTGCGAAATATAAAAATATTTTACAACAATCCTTTGTTAAAAACTGGTCATAAATCATAAGCGTTTAAAAAAATCGTTAAAAATAAAATTGTTATGCTAAAGTTGTATATTAAATTCACTTTTACTTTCGATTGCTGCCATCGTTTTTTTTTTTGTAAAAGACGAAGAAAATATACATCGATAAATAAGATTTATCGAGATCGATTTTCAAGTTTGTATATCCAATTTTCTCAAAAAGAAAAAAAATTGTATTCTATTCGATTTTTATTGTGTAGAATCATTTCCTCCTCAGAGAGAGACTATCAATAATGGTTCAATCTATACACAATATTCTCATGAATTAAACCAGTCAATGTCAATAAAAGTGTATCTTTAATCGTTAAATTTAACATATAAGATTGCGCACCATTGAAAGACTTCTGTTCTGTTTTGTATGTCAAAATAGGAATTCTTAGAAAAACATTTTTGGCAAGGATCAGTGCGGCAGACGGTAACGACGACACCGCGTAGCGGTGACGTCTACTTCGTGGAATACAGTCTGAAAATTTGACGCGCTCCTACATTTACTACGAGTCACTTCTATGTCACTCTATTTTCACCAATTGGTGGACGCTTCTTCGAAGAAGCGCCTATGTTCGTCAGATATATTGCGCAATTCGACTTGATAACAAAATTAGATTACATATATATTCTAATTTCATGGATAATCAATGACGTTATATATTTTGAAAATTGATAATATTAAGCATAAAACCACAATTGTAAATAAAATTTTCTTTGAAACTTAAAATATTACAAATAATAGCGAAAAAAGCTATTTTCTTTTTATTGTAAAGTAAATTATTTTCATTTACATAAATTGTATTAATTTTTCTTATAAAAAAAACTTCAGATTATAGAATTATAAGAATTCGTTTATAATTATATAAAAGATTTATATTATTATCACTAAAAAAAATGCTAGATTATCTAATAAAACTATAAAATTGAAAATTACTTTTCCACAGAAAGTTCTTTTATTCATAAAAATCAATATAACTTATGTAAATAAGAATAACTTATTTTACAGTAAAAAGAAAATAATTATTTTTGCTATTGTTTGAAATACTTTAAGTTTTAAGAATAATAAAAAACTATATATGAATGTATAATAATAAATAATTTATATACATATATCTTTTTTGGCACAATTGTATAGGTATTACACACAGATTATATATTATTATTAGAATGATTTAATTACATCAATCATAACTTTTTTAACAGTGTAAAAATAAAAAATTATTTATATAGTTAGAAAAAAATTATTTTATAATAGAGAGATATGTGTATATATATAAATACATTGAAATAAATTTACTTAATTGTCAACTAACATATAGAAATATTTATTGCTTTGCAGAGAATTAAAAAAATTTCTAGAATAATTATTCTAAATTACTTAATTTAATTTAATTTAAAGGAAATTGTTTAAATAATATAACAAAGTAAAAATAAAGATATTTTCTTAAAATGACGATACATAATTACTCATAATATCTCACCAAAAAATAGTTGCTTTGTTACTTCTTTAAAATATTTTGTTTGACGAAATATATATGTATGTAGAGTCCAATAACATTTGTTCTTTCCTTCCTTCAAGCATCAATAAAAGTTCCGTTAAAAGTTACCACTTCTGAGTAAATTTTCATAACTGTCAAATGAGTTGAAAGAATAATTTGATAACTGATTTTATCAACTGTTTCAACCAGCAATATAAATAAATTTTAGTAATAAACTTATAAGGTAATAATTAAATTTATATTTCTTATTAGATGTGTTATAAATAAGTATATATATTTACACAATAATATTAAGATGGATATTTACCAACTCCGTAAAACGTTTGCAAGCATTTTCAAACTGAATAAATTTGGCAAAATCTTCAAACACATACAATTAAAAGAGAAAACATTACATACAAAATATTCACAGATATTTGCAAATGTTTGTAAGAAAATGCTTGTTTGGTAGATACCTACCTTTACATATACATTGCTGCCAAACTACATTTTCTTTTATATAATTTTATCATCTGTATAAATAGATATAATCAAATACAAATAATAACAATAGAAATGCAGCATCTAAATAAAATCGAATATTATTGTGTAATATATATAAATTATATATATATTAATTATATATGATATATATTATATATATATATATATGACTAGAAAACATGAGAATAATAAAAGAAGTCATAAAATTAATATCATAAACTAACCATTCAAATTTTGGCAGTGAAGCAAACTTTTATAAAACGTCGGTCTTTGATAGTACTTTGTCGATGCTTTAAGTAAAAATGCAGTTACTTGAACACTCATATAATCTCACGAAACAATCAATTCAACTAAACCTTTTATCCATTAGTGTTGTGCTTGCTGTTAGAAAGAAAAGTGTTTCGGATTTCGTGAGATTTACAATAAGGCAATATATGTCTCTCGAATCGTATGCGCAAATAAATATTTCAATAAACTTCAATCGGACCCATTCACTAATGCCCACACGTCAAAGAATGAAATTTAATATATAACTTAACCTAAACTTAATATACTCGATAACGCAACGACCGGAAAACACTAGCTTTTTTCGTATTTGCGGACGAACGATCACGAAAGACTAGAACCACCTAGAACCGAAGAGATTCAACAACTTGCATGGAGAGTGCAGTCTTCACGACCAATAAGATAACGTTATTTATGTGCGACATTGCGCAACGATACAGCGCATCTACACTTGAATAGTGGCGCCAGCTGTTTCCAGTCATCGCTGGTCTTCGCGTCACGCGTTCCCTTCACGACCGAATGGCGATTTATGTTAATTTATGTTGTTTGACGTGGTTTGACGTACATTTAGCAATAATATATTAGCCTTATCGAACTTGTTTTCGGAGATCATCTGCCGTAAAAGGGAAAGAAGATATATAGCAATATGTATAATAGCATTTATTAGTTTTATTCGAAAAGCGTGCATTTATGTTACTATGTCGAAAGCCAAAGTTACAGCGGAATGGAGGAAGAGGGTAAAGTCGGAATACATGCGATTGCGGCAAATGAAACGCTATAAACGAGCGGACGAAGTCAAGATCGCGTGGAACCAGAATCGTAAGATTATGACAGGTAAATATTTACCGTTGCAATGCTAAAAAATAATATAGAGAACAGAATCTTTATTTTCTTTTACATTACAAAGGCAAGAAGGGGAAGTGGTTCATACTTTTTCTTTTATCCTTCTCACATCCATCCGTCCATTATGTTATCTAAATCCTAATTTATTAATCTCAACTACAATATTACTCCAATGTTATTCCTATTTGATCTTTTTAGTCTATTTATACTTCTGCCTCTTCTTTATTTCTTTTTATTCTAAATTTTCTTTTCCATAGAATCTTAATTCTTTTTCTCTATTTCTATCAACTTCTAATGTTTATTTATATTTACATATTGCAGCTAAATTCTTATTTATTGTCTCCATATTGTAGTTTTCAATTTTTAATCATTCTTCTTTCTTTATTGCCTTTTTCATTATATTGCTGCTTCTATCTTCTTATCTTTTTGGCCCTTCAACTTCTTTTTATGTTATTATTTTACTTGCCATCTAAACATGATATTAAAAAGTAATAATAATGACTACTTGTTAATATTAACATACAACTTTGTATTACAATAATTATTTATGATTACATGTTGAATAGAACTTCTTATGGCTGAACAAAAGCGTTGGACAGATGGAAAGGCAATGTGGCTGTCAATGCAAGACATTCCACCTCATCTTTCTTGTATGAAGAAAGCTGAAATTACTAGTCCTGATGGCGATGTACAAAGTTGTCCTGTAAAAATAATTAATGCAGTGACTCCTATACCAACCATGTATACATGGGCTCCCATTCAACAGAACTTTATGGTAGAGGATGAAACCGTTTTGCATAACATTCCTTATATGGGTGATGAAATTTTAGATCAAGATGGTACTTTTATCGAGGAGCTTATAAAAAATTATGATGGAAAGGTATGGAGAATAATTAAAAAATGACAGTAATTGTGGATATTTTTCAGTAAGACATACAGATGACACAGTATCAGATGGTATACAAAAAATTTAAATAATAATTTTAATAAAATGTGAACAGTAAGAGAATTAACCAATGACTAGAAATCATAATACTATAACGTAAAAGCAGTAGCAAATCCAACATGTTGATTTTCTTACTGGTTATATTTTGCTGCTAAAATTTTTTTGTGTACCATGGACTTGACACTGAATTATATTCATTCTTGTTTAACATTGACAGGTGACAGGCAATAAGGATGTAATGATTCATTATGTTATATTAACTATATTTCTTGCTGGAAATATCTTGTGTACTGAATTTTATTATTATTAACTTTGTTTTACAGGTCCATGGTGACAGAGAATCTGGTTTTATGGATGATTCTATCTTTGTCGATTTGGTGAATGCTCTAGCAAATTATGAGAAAGAAGATAAAGACAAGGACCAAGTAAAGAAAGGAAAGGAACCCTTAAAAGAGAAAGAAAACCAAAAGGAAAACGACAAGAAAGATGAAACAAAAGGTGAAACAGAAAAAACTGAAAGTGGGAAGACAGCTGTTACTCCATTTCCATCAATGCATATATTTAATGTAAAAAACTTATATAAATACCATAATGCAAAATTATATAGTATAATCCTTTAACATAATTGCTTTATAATTATTTTTAGGCTATATCAAGCATGTTTCCCGATAAAGGAAGACCCGAAGAATTAAAAGAAAAATATATTGAATTAACAGAAAGATTTGATCCAAATGTTTTACCGCCAGAATGTACGCCTAATATAGATGGTATAAATGCAAGAAGTGTACCTAGAGAACAAACGATGCATTCTTTTCATACTTTGTTCTGCAGGAGATGTTTCAAGTACGACTGCTTCTTACATCGTGAGTATACTGCAGTAAAACAGTTCTCAATTATTTAAGTTGTATTTTATGAAATAGATCGCAAAAATAATATAGTTTTTAATACTTATTATATCTACTCACTTATTATATAATACAGGATAATACTTTTAGAAATAATCAATGACATGTAAAAATACCTTGCTGAAATACAACTTACTAAAGTCTTGTATAATATTTTAAGTGTTCTATATTGAATGTTTATTAATTACAATAATTTGTGATTCCTGATTTATCGTAGCAGCCAGGGGGACCTCGCCGCAAGGTAAAGAACAATATTGCATATAAACTAATGCATTATCGATCGGAAGCTTTTTTTTGTTTAGCACAGAGGCATCGTCAAGGGCTCATCTGCAATCATATTTCATTCATCGTTCATCGCTGTGTCTACTAAATTTTTCTCCATTCACTATGCCAAATTAGCTGACAAGAGTACATAGTGAATTTATGATGTTGCTTGTAGGTCTTCAAGTTTGCCATCCAGGTCCGAATTTGCTGAAGCGGAAAGGACCCGATTTGAAACCGTTTCCAGAGCCATGTGGGACTGAATGTTACATGCATTTGGTATGTTGTTATACTATACTTTAATAGAATGTTATTCTCAAAGTCAGATTTGATATAACTTTTTATGTAGGAGGGGATGAAGGAAAAGCTGGCGGCACAAGCGGCGGATATAAAAGAAGAAGAAGGCGATGAGAAACGTGGTGGTCCTAGGAAAGTACGAAAACAAGCGAGTGTTGATTCTGGAAATGAAGCGAGCAGCGAGGATAGTAACGATAGTAATAAGTATGGTCAAGGAGGCAGTTGTCAAGGTTAATATATAATTCATTAATATATTATAATTCATTAGATTACATATGTATGTTTTAAATTTTAAATTTTAATTAAATTTTCTTTAAGAAATTTTTTTCTTTTTAAATTAGACTTTAAGCAAAACGTTAACAAAAACTCCCAATCTGAAGAAATGATGGAAGATCAAGCACAGCCTGAAAATCAAGCGCCCTTCACGTTATTAGGAATTGGTAAACGAAGTAAAACTGAAAGTGAATTCTCATGGACAGGTTCAGAACAGAGCTTGTTTCGAGCTCTTCACAAAGCTTTCCCCGGCAATCCATGTGCATTAGCACAAATTATATTAACGAAAACTTGCCAGGAGGTGTATGAATTTGCACAAAAAGAGGCTTCGGATATTCCCGCTATAGAAAATCTGAAGGACTTCACGCCACCGCGTAAAAAGAAAAAGAAGCATCGGTTATGGTCTATGCATTGCAGGAAGATACAACTTAAGAAGGATTCTGGTATATTTATTAATTAATTTAAAAAAATTTTTAAGTCAAAATTATGTTTTTTTTTTATTCTTAATAATATCTTTTTCGATAGGTGCTAATCATGTTCATAATTTCGCACCTTGCGATCATCCAGGTCGCCAGTGCGACAATTCATGTCCCTGCATACAGGCACAGAATTTTTGCGAAAAATTCTGTCAATGCAGCAGCGAGTGTCAAAATCGATTTCCTGGTTGTAGATGTAAAGCTCAGTGCAACACGAAACAATGCCCGTGTTATTTAGCTGTAAGAGAATGTGACCCGGATCTTTGTCAAACGTGTGGCGCTGATCAATTCCATATCACTAAAATATCCTGTAAAAATGTCAGCGTGCAACGTGGTCTTCGTAAGATTAATAAATTTTAAATATATTACTTTGTTACAAATAATAAATATGTACACAAGGTATAAGAAAATATTATTTGTAGACAAGCATCTTCTAATGGCACCTTCAGATGTAGCAGGATGGGGAATTTTCCTAAAAGAGTCAGCGGCGAAGAATGAATTTATTTCAGAATACTGCGGCGAAATTATTAGTCAAGATGAAGCCGACAGAAGAGGAAAAGTATATGATAAATATATGTGCAGTTTTCTCTTCAATCTTAATAATGGTAAGTACAATGTAGATACATTAAATATAGTAAATGATTGAAAATGATATAAATTGAAGAATATTTTCTAGATTTCGTCGTTGACGCAACAAGAAAAGGGAATAAAATAAGATTCGCCAATCATTCCATAAATCCCAATTGTTACGCAAAAGTAATGATGGTGAACGGTGATCACAGAATAGGTATTTTTGCTAAAAGAGCAATACAACCTGGTGAAGAATTATTTTTTGATTATAGGTATATTATCAATTAATATTATAATATATATATAACACTAATTGATTCATCAATTATGTAATTGAACTTTATAAATGTCAATTTTTAGATATGGACCAACGGAGCAACTCAAATTTGTTGGCATCGAGCGAGAAATGGAATTTCTTTAAGAATTTGTATTTTATATATATGTAATCACACACATATAAATAATACGCTGAACATACAGATGCATATTGAAAATAAAAAATATATATAAATACGAAAATAAACACTTGTGTGATTCATTTATCAATGGTAAAAATGTTATTTTGTTTAAAAATTAACATTTCTGTCTTTACTTTGTCTAATAAAATAAGTCAAATCGTTTAGTATTGATAGATTTTGTATATATATTTTTAAAAAATGTAAGAACAATTTTAGAAAATTTTAACTCTAATTTTCCTTTTCTTTAATATGTAAATTTTATGTACTTATACATAAATATTATGATTCAATATGTTTGCTAGAAATTATTTAGTAATATTGTGCTATGTAAATTGCTATATACATAATATTATTTTATCACAAAATGAAAAAAGTAATAAAATTGTGATATATAACTATTTGACAAATGATTAATAAATAAATACAATCTGTGTACATTTTATTTGTAAACACTATTGCAAGTGAAAATATTTGTCTTAGTTTTCAGTTTGTGTATATTTTTAGAAGTATCGCTTATTAAAGTGTTTTATAAAAAAGACATTTCTGAACTTTTTTTAATGTCTTATTTATAATTATTATGTCAATTTATAATTAGCAAATTATTTATTGCTATTTGTATGTAAAATAAAGAATACATCTTTATTCGTACATTTCTCATGATAGCATTTTTGCGCTTCTTCTGCTGGAATTGAAAGAACTTTTTCTAATTTCGGATTCCTACAGTCTAAACTTAGAAATCGATTAAATCTAGTAACGTTAACAAAATTGGTAAACGTGTATCAAATTTTAAATCTAAAAAGCAAAGAATTCAATGGTACAATTGAATTTAATGATAAACATCAGATTGTCAATTACCTGGGTATTTTATTTTGTTTAGTAGTTTAGTGCAATGTTCTTAAAAACTCAAAGTACAAATTTGCTTTAAGAATAATTAAGTAAACTGAAAAATATATTTTTTATGTAATTATGCATGTGACGTATGTGTCACATATTACTACATACAACAATGCTTGTTTTGTTTAAAGTTTTATATGTATAAAAAAATTATTTTATGTTTTATCCAGAATAACAAGTTATAAAAACGAGATATAATACAGTACCGCAAATTGTATTCAGCATTCATAAATAATATTAAATTTATTACAACAGTACTTTCTGTATTTCTTAAAGATTGTGTCATACTTGCCTCCTCCTCAATCAATTGATATATATATATATATATATATTTTTTTTTTAAATATATATATTATATATATATATAATACAATTTTCTGATTTATTTTAATCTAATTTTTATTTTTTTTTATCTTAATTCTAAGCTGGATTAATTTAAAAACTGTGTTAATGGCAGTAATGTAGAATAAAATAGTACTCCAGCAAACTGACGTTATTTGTTGTCATTTTGATGTCAAAATGATTATAAATAACGTCAGTTTGTTTACTGGACCTTATTATTAAGTTTTGATTCAAATTTTGATCAAGTGGCCAAAACCGATTTTGATCATGTCAGTTAAATCCAGGTCAAAACCACACTGACCGATCCTGCCAACGACCCTGATGCATAATAATAATATAATGGTAGCATATGTAGACATTTTTCATCAAATCTTTATAACTTAAAATATGAAAAATTCTTAAAAAAAATATCACGATATGAAAATTGTTTACCTTAAGATTTCGTAAGAAAAAATACATGATTTTGAAATTGTATCATTTAAAAAAAATTTGTTTTAATATGATTATGCATGATTAGACTGGATTAGACATTGGATTTTTTATACAGATATTTTTTGTAGATATGCACAAATATTCAAATTTGCACAAATATACAAATTTACGCAAATAGATATGCATTTTTAGAATGCTTTTGCAACAAAACAAATTTCTATTTTAATGTTATACTTTCCAATCCGCTTTCTAAAAAATATAAAATTACATATAAGAATCCGATGTTTAATTATGATAACCCGATACAATAAAGTGTTTTTTGTGCGTATTACAAATTAATTTTAAATTTGGCGTATATAAAAATGGATTACAAAGATGAACAAACGTGTGAACGCCTTGAAAATACAAACAGTCTCTCGACGGTAATGCCTGGATTAAAGCGTCACGAATGACACGAGCTTTCGCGCAGCTTACAACGGAGTTACCGCGAAGGGATTGTAGGGAAGCGTCTCGGTGATCCCGACGTGGGAATTCGGCCACCAGTTGCAAGCTTCGCGGCTGCGAAAGCGGTTGGACGGAAAATCTGTGAAAAATCTCAGATCGCAGGAGAGGCCTAAAAGAAAGGTTTTTCTTTCTTAAAAATAATACTTATATAATAAATCAAGTTTCGACCGCATTGAAATTACAGTAACGCTTTTAATTCTTGAATCTACTGAAAATTAATTCGTGATTGATTTACGGTGAAGCAAGAGCTCAATTCTGCGACTAGCTATATCATTTTTGTTGATATGCGCAAATACTTTTGGCCGATTTCTCTCATGAAGAAAAAAAATAAAAGAGAAATAGATCGAGAACGAATAAACAATTAATAATGATACCGTCGAACGAAGCTGTGCATCTGCCAACGATAATTGTGTGAACTCGCGCATTTAAAATTTAATTGGATTCCACACCGAGAGGGTAAATATTTGCACTCGTGCATTGGATTCGTCTATGATCCGCTCCGGATTCGATGTACGCGGAGACGAGTAGCGCGAAATTGGATCGCTTTACTGGATGGTACATTTTGGAGATTTGGGAACGTCGTACAATACGCAACGAATAAACATGTCGCGAAAAAGGTGAAGTACACAAGAAAAGCAACGTGCCGTCGATGATACTCGACCCGTAGGAGGAAACCAATTTGGATTGAGGCCAAGCTCGAGGAAATCTCATCCGTGAACATGGAGGAAGAAGGTAATTTTTTTTGAAGAAAAGAAACTAATTACCAGAAGTTTCGTGTTAAAATTGCAAGAAGTAACAAAGTAGCTCTGACATAATAAATGATAGTTATATATTCACTTTTAAGATTAGATTACAATAGTGATTGTATATTATCAAATTTCATAAAAAAATACACCCATGGTAAAAAATTTTCGTTTTTTTTTTTGGAATTTTTTAGGAATTTTAATAATTTTATAATTGTTTAAAAAGCTTCTTTGAATTTTACACGAATTTTAAAATAATATTTTTACTGAGCTTAACTGATATATAGTATAATACGTATTAAAATTACGATTCGCAATATGTTTTATGTCACATTTGGATTTTGTTACATACATTATTATTTAAATATCACTAATATATATATAATAATAATAATAATTTGTCATCAGATTTTAAAATACATTATGATATTTAAAATTAAATACAATATTCTAACGTATGAAGATACAAACAAACGATATTGCTGTATTCAATTTAAATTTATATGACATTTAAAGGCGGATATAGGTTTGTTACATATCTGCGTATCATATTATCATTGTGTGTCAATATAGATGTGCATCGCTGAATTGACATAATAATACGCATATATTCAATAAGTCCGCTTAAAAAAAGTTATTTATCCAAAATAAACTGCAAATCATAATTTTAATACTAATATTTTCTAAAATAATATAATATAATTATTTATAAAATAATACATGAAAGTTATATTAAAATTATAATTACCATAATATTTGGAAACTTATATGACTTATGACAGTCGAGAACAAGTTGCGTAATAAACAATATAAATAAACATCGTATTGCTATGACAGAAGCGATTTTTTGAAAATATAAAATTATAAATGAAAAAGTGCTTTTATTATATGATATGACAGCTTGTACGAAATACATCACTCTTGTTATAAATAAGATTTGAAAGTATAAATACGATGATGCATGCAAATATCAAAAAATTATGATCTTTATATTACGTTTATAAAAAAATGAAAACTTTATTCTAAAAAATTGTCTATTAAAAATAAAATATATGCATAAACATTTTAGGTTTTTAGAAATTACATGAAAATTGATAATGTTTATAGAAATCGATTTAATCTATTAAACATTGCAAAACCTACACAATTGTGAATTACACAAACAGCTGTTTAAAAACTTTAGAAACTGTTTGTTGAATTTAGTTTTTATTTTAGCTCTTTAGATTTATCATATGGGCTTTTTTTTCTCCTTCTAAACGCGAGATCTGGTAACTGTAACTTTATTACGTTACAAACTGCTTGTATAATACAGAGATAATTCCTTTTGCAGGAAAAATTTACGTAATTTTAATAACAATTTTTATGGAATTTTTTAAATTAACAATTTTATAAATAAAATATAATTTGCAATTAAATTTTGTTGCCTTCAGCATTAAAAATAACATAAAATTGACAATAATTTTATTTAATAGAAACTTAAAATGAATTTTTTATAATATTTATAATATACATATATTAAATATATGTATATTATAAATACGTATATTAAATATATGTATATATACATATATGACATAATATGTTAAAAATATACGTACTATAAAATATTATGAATGCATTTGTTTTATCTCATTAGATAAAGTTTTTGCCGGTTTTTATATACGTTACATTTAAATATGTTAATACATCATCATAAGAAGCGCTTTTTTATTAAATGCTCTGCAAAACGTTTCTCGTCTCAAAAACGTTCTCGCATAATTTTATACGCTTCCACTATTCCGCATGCGAGACTGCGCGAACGTATTCATTTCAATAAATTCACGTTTTAATAAGTACTCGTTTTTTAAAAATATATTTATACAAGTATCAGTATATGTCACATAAACCGTAAAAAAATATGATAGCAAAGAAAATTTATTTAAACATGCCGCATAGGACTGCGTTTAATTCTCGCGACTCTTTGATCCGGATATTTTCTCTCTTCTTTTCTTTTTCCTCTCGTTTTGCGAGATATTCCGCGAGAAACGAACGAGCGAGCGTAAATATATATTCCATGGATTTAAAGCGCACCTGTATTCGCGATTGCGAGTCGGTATTATG